GCGAATGCCAACGGTTTCCCCCCTGCCCTCGGGGTATTCACACACAGGGTTGAGCGATGGCGGCTCTTTGGGACAGTCAGGGAGAGGGCGTGAGTGAGTGAGTGAGTGAGAGAAAGAGCTAGAGAGAGGGAGAGAGAGAGCGATAGCGTGAGAGCAAGAGATAGAGAGAGCGTGCCTAAAGAAGAAAACTGTCGGCTGTAATGACACCAAACTGAACTTTGTAAGCGAATCTGACAGTTGTGTGATGTTTGCTTGTTCGTTAACCTTGGTGTTTCCGGTCTCGTTTTTGAAGGGCAAAGTGGAAGCTATAGCTTAAAAATCTAAGGTAAATGGGCATCAGCAAAAACCGAAAAGCTGGTCACCCTAGCAGCTGGTCTACATCCGTTAAGCTGTAAAATTTCGCGCTAACAGGCGCAACCTTAGGCTGATTTGTGCCTTTTAGAGCCAAATTTTCCCGTCTTTGAGCAGAGGCCAGCTGTCCAGCTTCCTTTAAAACACCAAAACAAAAAAAGGAGGTTTCTAAACAGCATTTCTCTATCGCAAACCCCGAAAAACATGCCATAAAATCCTAGAAACCGCCAGCAAGGGTTGGTGGCGAGTGTGAGCCGGGTGGGTGGGCGCGCTGGAGCTGCCTTGTTTCTGTGCATTTTCCCGTTTTTGCCGGGCACTCAGCAGCTTCTGCTGGGATGGCGGGTAGACATTCTCCCCTCCACCGCTCTCCATATGGGAAATGTGACCGGGAAGGCGAGGGTATGACTCCTTGAGAAAAGAGTGAACTATCGTGATAGCTGGATTGATGAGTGGTCGTTGATAGAAAGGGAGAGAGAGCGAGAGAGCGAGAGAGAGAGCGAGATAGAGAGGAAGAGAGAGAAAGTAAGGAATGCTCATGATCTCTGGAAAGATTACGATTCATTGTAAGGTTGAGGAAGAAAATAACCAGTGATAGCTTAGACTTAAAGCTTAGACTTTGTTAGACTTAGGCATGGAGTCCGTTTCTCGGCTACTGGAAGCTTTTGATATGCTTTTTTTAAGCGTCTGCTCTCCCCTCCAAATCAATACGAACTTCATATCTACTCCACACATCTAAGAGCCACTCACTCCTCCTCCCGCGCCATTCCAAAACATTCCGTTTTATGAGCCACTCATCGAAATCCGAGGCGGCCGCCCCAGCTGGCGCCATCTCCACCAAGGGATCTCTGCAGGCTCTTTGGCCCTCACCGGCGAATATTTGATGGTCATTTGGGCGGGAAGTGTATAGTCGGGAGGTCACCATGTTGGGCGTCGAGGATCGTTTGAGCTAAAAGACGCCTCGGGGGCGCGCCTTTTAGTGTCCAGCGCTCTCCGTGGAAGATAATCAAGCCAGAAACGACTGTCGGCAGGTCAAGCAACATCATGCCTGAGTGAGGGTTTTTGGAGCGGTTTTGGACTATGAAAATGTGAGTTTCTGAAAGTTTGAATTTCTGGTCCGTGCGAACTCGCTATGAACAAAAAGCTACTAGCTTTTTAAACATAAAAATAATAACTAAACGGCGGGAGCGAGAGAGAGAAATAGAAAGAAAGAGAGAGCGAAAGAGAAAGAGAGAGCGAGAGCGCGAGAGAAAGAGGAGAGAGATAAATCAAGCCTGAAGCACAACCATACCCATAAAATTTCCGTAATAACTCCAAAAATACGTTGCACACCGCATTCCCCCAAAGGCGCCAACGATATACCAAGGTATGATTCATCACCCCCGCCCCGTTCGACTCACCAAAACAACGGAAGAATAGGACAAAAGTACCCCGGCAAGCGGCACAAGCCTGAGGGCACGTTCCTCAACCATCAGCTCCTCTACTCATCCCACCCACCAACCCGGTCAACCCACCTTTTGAGTTTTTGACGCGTGCCGTCAGCAGTACAATAGGCCGATAGACCCCGGCTTTGCATAACCCGCTTCAGCGTATTCAAACGGAACGCGGTGCCCGGGAGGGGTAACGGGATTAGGGGTGGCAAGAGCCGGAATCGGGGAAAGTGCGGTTGGACCAGTTAAAAGCTGTTAGTTTTTGAGGAAACAAAGGGGAAATCGATTCTAGTTGACAAAACTCTCGCAATCCGGCATGGATCATTAAGGAAAGCGGCAGGGTAAGATAACAGGGATCATTTCGGAACGGAAGACAGGCCCGCAATGGTCTCTTAGAAACTGAGAGCAGGCTAGCAAAGACAAACTGGGAAATCTAGTTTCGAGGCTGGCAGCCGCCATTTAGGAAGGCCATTTCGCAAGGAGGAGGCGTTCTTGAAGAGGTCCGTTGCAAACTATCATCCCGAAATCAAATCTTTGGATCGGGATTTTCGATAATTCGCAGAAACTGGTTAAGAGTCTTTAAGAGTCTAACTTAAGACCCCTGCCAGAAAATACCAAACTACAATGTGGACCTAACGCATCGGGCCCCGGCGGATCGTTTAAAAAAGGAACAACCCATACTAAAAAGGAAATGACCAAATGCCGCCATTTACGACCCCCTCCCCCATATTGCGATGTAAATGATGGATGTGCCCCCAGGGCTACGAACAGCAAGAACAAGAATTTTAAAATACCCCTGGTACCGGGATTAACATTTTTTTCAGAAAATTCTTCAGCGGCAGTCCATAAACGAGAATTTGGCATATTGAAAATTGCAAAACCAGCAATCTATACATATTTAACCTGGAATTTTTCTCCTGAATAAACGTGTGAACCGTAATTAGTACACTACCGTAACCCTTCCCCCGCAGAACACGTGATACAAATTGGATCCCGAATTGTGCGTCAACGAGTGAAATTTTAGCCGCATTTTGGCAGGCGTGGAAGTGAAATTCGAGGGCTGCGCAAATGTGTGGCCTTTGCTGAAAGTTGGCAATAATTCCCAGGGCTTGGCATCGAATGAGGAAAACAGTGGATCCGGTTACAAAGTACCGAGAACATCAATGGACGGAAAGGTTTGTATGGAACAGTTCTTAAAATGAAAACCAAAAATAATGACGAACATGCTAAAATGCTAATTCGATAAATTCTTTTTGTTAAGAATAAAATCGGTTTCAGCCACTATCTGAACCGCTTTAAAAAATCCTGTGCCGATAGATTTCTTGCAATTGATTAATTCATCTCCAAAACTCAAGAAAATTGGAATTTTGATTGTAAATCGTGAAATATGAAATGATTGGTATATAAAATTGGCAACAAATTATCGTGAATCGATAAAAATTAGGCTCTGAAACTGGAAGCTTTGAATTTTCAGGAAGCATTATTTTTTTCGATATTCAGCCATGGGAATTCTCGTTGTTATCAGTGTAGATATGTCAAAATTCGACCTTCTGAATCAAAGAAATGCTTTATCTGAAGATTAAAAATCATTGTAGTTTGGTAGCTCCTTAATTTTTCGATTTTAAAATAATTATCACCGCTCTCATGCTTGCGCTATTTACGCGATTCCTCCCTACTTCCCATTCGCAATTAGCCAGCGACATCAAGCCTCCCAATAGCCGGTCATGAGCTATATGGACTAAATATCCCCCGGTAAGAGGCCAGGTGGGGGCCCTCTACCCCCTAGGTGGGACACCATTTCCATACCCTCTGCCCCCTTGCATCGAACACCCCGGGAGGCAGCCAGCCAGCCTCGACCCTCGTTGCTAAGCACCCGGCAACCATTTCCGAACCTTCACCCCCTCTCCTCCCTCTTCCTAATACTAATAGTACTAACTACTTTTCGGCCGCGAAAACCAGATTAGATCGCCGACCGAGAACTACCAGTTTTTATGAATAACGCCTAGACGGTTGGGTTCGATTTTTTCCCCCGGGGTTTTTTGATGCCGACATGCTGCGGGCAGGCGCCGCTCAGAGGTAAGTAATATCTAAGAGTTCAAGCATACGTCAATTTTTGAAGCAATTCAAGCGCATTTAGACATAATTCCAGATTTTTCAATTTCTAAAAATAAATAGAATTGCAATAAATTCAACTAGAAATTTCGCATCGAAAGCTTTCAGAAAAATTCTCGTACTAACATTTTTAAGCTTCATTCATTTACTATCATTGAATTTATAATACACATTTTCGGCAACGGCCCGCGCACCCCCGGCGTCAGCTTTGGACCACCAAAAACCGTCCACAAAGCCGTATGCAAAATTCCGCCTAGAAAACAGGACAGATCACCAAACCCACCACCCGGAAAGAAGTGAGTCTAGTTGAGTTTTTTCGAGCAGAGGGTGGAGATCAGGGAACGTTTTTCTCCAAACCACCCCTGGCACATGGTCAGAAAAATGGGGGCCCCCGATCCGAGCCAAATGCCTGGTGGGGCGTGAAGGGCGGGTGGAAAAACGTTTTTCTGCGTTCGGGGGTCTTTTCGAGAGATTGAGCGGCCCGTTAGACTTTCGAAATCTTGGAAGGCATTGAAGTGAAAGGTGAAAAGTTGAAAGTTTTAGATAAATAAATTATAAAGTCAGAAAATACCTTTTCAGGCCGTCACAACCGGCGAAAACTATTGCTCATAAACTTCTCAATGAGCAGTACGCGACGAGTTTGGAGCAACAAGTCAAGCTACTGGAGTTTGAGAACAAGTTTTTGTAAGTTTTACCTTTCTCTACTTTCGAGCGCGCCTCTTCTCCCCTCTCTCTCTCTCTCTCTCTCTCTCTCTCTCTCTCTCTCTCTCTCTCTCTCGCTCTCAATCAATCTTTTAGAAGAACCAAAGCCTCCTTCTCGACCACAGATTCATTTTCGAGCCGCTGTGCTCGATATCAAGGACAGCCGCTCTTGCTGAGAGGCCAAAATGAAGTAAGCGTTGAGATTTCATTTCTAATTTGTCTATTTTCAGGTAAGCACTGATGGAGGCGACTCTTGGTGTCATCTTCCACCCTACCACCCTCCTTTGGAACAATTGTTAGGCCAAAATGTGAAACGAGTAGACCAGCAGCGAAGATCTTCGAGGCCTCGGGACCGAAGTGATCAGGTAACAATTTTTTAATTGCTTACCCTTTTTCAGGATAATAACAATGAAGAACAGCAACGATCGGCCAGAAGTCTCTCGCCCATTGAACTACCCGATCAGGTGGGTCCTTAGCGGCTTTCCCGTCTTCACTATCAAAATTCAATGCCAAAAGCCAAAACTAAAGCTACCAATCGTTAAAGAACCCATTTCCAACTTCAAATGCCAGAAAGCAAAATGTAAGCCCAATGCGGGGCTCGAACCCGCGACAACCAGATTAAGAGTCTGGTGCTCTACCGACTGAGCTAACCGGGCGGCGAGGGTTGGGTTGGGGAAGGGGTTATGAAGGGAGGTCGGTTTGGTGGCGCGGGGGGGAGGGGGGGGGAGGGTGTGACGATTATGGGGTCCCAGTTGGCATGCTTGCCAGAGGCGACTGCCCAAACAAAAATTATCTCAACTGATTCTAGGACTCAAATTCTCCCTCAAAAGCTACGGATTCTCGCCCCCCGAGAAACAAGAGGTCCGAGGCGAAGGCCATCGACGATCGATGAGAGTGATGAAGAAATGGAACACCCAGAGCGAAGGGAGACACTACCGAGAATTCCGACGGGGAATCGGAAGCCGTTTCCGGCCAAACAAACGAGGTCAGTGTTTTTCTAGTCAAGGTATGACCGGTTTTATCGCATAGCAATAATCCGTGGTTTTTAAAGTATCGCACCTTTGTTCCAATCAAAAATCTATGAAGTATTTTAGTGTATCGGGTATAGACGATATCGTGCGAAAGCCGGATGATCGAAGGTGAGCCAAAGCACATTATTTTTTTAGATTAATTTTTCTAGAAAATCGGTCCCGATCCCGCGGGCTTCTTCATTACCTCGACGACCAAGCCAAGTCGCTGGCAGGCCAGTTACCGTGCCCTCGGCCACAACTTCGATAACTACAAAGAGTAGCAGCTCTGGGGCCCGTATCTACAATGAACAGAGAGAAGAGGTATTAGCTATATTTTTTAATAAAGATTTTTCAATTATTTTAGCTCTTGCAAGAACTCGAGGGTCAACTGGAATTTTTAAACACCGAGTTGCAAGATCGGGATCGACGGATAGCACAGCTGAAGGGAAAGCTGCGTCAGATTGATGAAAAACAGAGCGGAAGGAATGGTATGTGATCTTTTTTTCTGTTCTTTTCGTTTTGAAGTTGTACTTTTGTGTGATTTCGAACAAATATTATCTAAGACGACGTATTCGCATCAGATCTAATCCAATAGACCATTAGAAGCACTTGGAAACGCGAAATAAATTTCTGTACTTTTCAGCCAATGAAACTCGTGACAAGCGCGCATTAATGGAAGAACTCCTGGAACTTCAACGAAGGCTTGATGAACTCACCCCACTTTTGGCACAAAAAGAAGCGCAAATTGCTAGGTATTTTTGGGGTATCTTTCTGGTTATATACTGCTTAGACTCGAAAATCAGCGGGACGACGTGTCTCACAACCTGCGAACCCAAGAAACAAAATTGAGAAAACTGCAGTCAGAACTGTCCGAAACACTTCATGAAAGAACGGTGATGAGCGACCGAGATAAAAGGCATAGAGAAGATGTGCAACGGCTGGAAGTATCTATAGAAAAACTGGTAGTAAAAGAGCAACAGCTGAAGGAGGAGATCAGGAGGATTACGGTAGGAAAATCTTACTCATTCGTAGCTATCATAAAATTTAGGACGAGCTGATGGACTGTCGAAAACACGGCCAGGCGATGGAGTTAAAAATGGCCAGTGAAAAAGCGCTGGTTGACAAGGCATAATCGTTTTTACATATTTTCAAAATTGTGCTGATTTAGCTAACACTCGAAAATTCGCGACTTATCTTGCGGAACGTTGAGCTATCTTCCGGGATGGATAAGCTGCAATTGTCTGTAAATTCGGCTTTGACAGAAGCTGAGGAAATTACGAAAAATATCGTCAGGCGCGAGGATTATGATAAAGTAAGTAGTGGTACCCGAAAGGGCGCAAATCCACGATTACTTTTCCCAGCGTTAAAAGCTTCATTATAAGCTAGTAAGCCATTTTAAACTATAAATCCTACTTTACCACGGCCAAGCGTCTTTTAGGTCAAAACCTCCGAAGCCGGCTTGAGAAATGAGCTTGCAGCTTCGCTGGAAAGATGCCAAGCCCTTTCCAGCCAAATCGAGTCGCTGGAGAAAGTGGTAAGTCAGAAAAACCTAAAAACTCAACTAAAAACCGTTTCTTTTTTCAGATATCCAATCAAGACACCGCTGCGGTTGAAGTACGAGAAAATCGGGAACGTCTACAGGAGGAATTCGACGCTTTGAAGGCTTTATCCAGATCGCTGACGGAAGAGAATAAAGGCCTACGGGAGGAGATCCTTGATTTGAAGGAGAAGCTGGAGCGGGAGAGAGAACGAGTGAGTTCTTATAGCTAAACCAAGTTGAATGAAATTTTCAGGGCACCACCAAGCTAGCCCGGATTGCGGAGCTTGAAGATGAGCTAGGCTTGGCCGTTCGGGTACAGCAAGAAACTGTTCATAAAGTGGAGCGGGAAACGAGGAGACACCATGATCGGTTGGTTCAAGAAGTTCGGGAAGTATTGCTGATTTCAGCGGCGCTGAGCTTGAAGATGTCACGCGGCGATTGCGGGAGCTTGCAGATTCTCTTCCAAAATCCGATAATTCGATCAGCTCGAAGTCGTTGCCGCGAAGTGCCGGGTTTTCGAGGGAGGAGTCGATGGCTTCGGTGTTGTCGGTGAGTAGAGGGTAGAGAGGGGGGGGGGGGGGGGGGGGGGGAGAGAGGAGGGGGAGGAGAGAGAGAGAGAGAGAGAGGAGAGAGAGAGAGAGAGAGAGAGAGAGAGAGAAGAGAGAGAGAGAGAGAGAGAGAGAGAGAGAGCGTAGCATAAGCTTGAGCTTAGGATTTAGTCTACCACTTACCTCTTGCAGCCCCAAAGCTACCAGCGATCCCGCATCGTCCCTCTCGCCCTAGAAGAATGCCATTCCCCCCAATCCACAAGCAGTCAGCGTAAAGTCCAAATTACCGAAGACGACCTCTCAAAAATGCTCGAGCTCGCCCGAAGAATGAATATCTGACTACAAAGAGACTTTTTATCCCCTTTTATATTCCTACCATTGCCCCTAATTTTGCTCAATTTTTGATGCTCGTCCCATTGCCACTCTTTTTATGCGCTGATGCCATAAGATATTATTATATTCTTTCCACGCAAAGAAGCCCCACACCTACGTGAATCTGCTATTTGAGGGCAACGTCTCAAATAAATGATGTCTTGAGCTGGTCGTGATCTGGTTTCTGAGACATTGCATGAGCTAATCTTACAGCCGAAGAAGTAGGGCTTCTTTATCAATTGAAGGAGTGCAACAGAAAAACAATATTGCTCAGCTTGACATGAAAAAGTAGGACGAGCGAAGCTCTGGTACGGATATATGCCCTCGTGAATCACTCGGGGCTGGCTTGCAGAGATTCTCTAAAATTGGCTTCTTATTGTAGCTTTGCTAAGTAAGTGAACGGTACTTAACGCAATAACGGCGCTTATGGCAAGATAGCAGAGTTCATTTGAAAATCTCAGACGCATAATTTTTAGCTGAAAACGCACACTTTTCGTTCGAACACTTTTTGTTTTCCGTACTCGAACACTTCCACTCGAGAACCACTTCCGATGACTGACGTTCCGGGCGGCTACTCGGGAAATGAACATTTCCCGAAAATCCTTTTTGCAAACTTTTAAAATAGCCGCCTTCGAGGGTACATCGAGCACAAACATCAAGGAGGACTGATTCCGGAAGCGCCGATTTTTGGATATGCAGCTGCTGGTAAAACAAGGGTAGCTCCAATACCCCGACAAAGACTGAGGCCATAATCGAATAGTCAAACTCCCAAATTCCGACACCAGCAAACTAGTAGCCAGCCCCGGATTTCGATTTGTCGATAACTTGACATGTCGGTTTTAGAATTGTCGACATTTTAACGTGCCCGAAAATTTCGTTCATTTCCGAAAATCCAACCGCTTTACCCCCCATCAACCCGTCGAGTGGAAATCAGAAAGTGTGAAGGGGCTTTGAAGGGGGGCTGAGGATGAATGTTTTGTGAAGGACCGAAAGGCCAACCAACGCTAATTGGACCACATGGCAGGTCGGGGCCAGGAGGAAGGGATCGTAACCCCAGGGGTTTATCCCCACAATATTGCCCTCACTTCGTTCGTATTTTGTGGCCCGGCACGGTGGTGGCCGTCTCACGAGAATGGTGGGTCATTTTTTAGGGGTTCGAAGTTGTACTGGGGTACTGTAGCCACTAATCTGAGTCTAACAAGGAGTGGTTATTAGTGATCCTGGGGTTTCGAGTTGGGACCAAGCCTATTGTGTGTAGAATTTTACGCTGATTTTGAATCCGCTTTAAAAAAGTGCTGAACGACGATTTTGAAAGATTTATGAGGTTTTTCAGTGCCCCACAAAGTCAAAATAGCCTACTTTCAACCGCCTCAAAAACTCACAGAAAATGTTTTCGATGAAGATCTTTAGCACAGGATGTTTTAAAAAAGCTGCTCTTTCAAATGAGCTATCACGCACAGCAATCCCAAGTAATTTGCTTTAAAAGTTGCGACTTACCAGCGAAAAAAATTATTTACCCAACGTGGTCCTGGGCATCGAGTTGAAAAAAATGTCACAAATTTTGAAAAGTTGGCGTCTGATCGCTTATTTTGAAGAGCAACTTTTTTAGAGCAGCCTATGTTAAATACTTTCGTCAAAACGCTTTCTCTGTGATTTTTTGAGGAGGTTGAAAGCAGGCTATTTTGACCATTTTGGGCACTAGAAAACCTCGTAAATCTTTCAAAATCATCGTTCAGCACTTTTTAAAGCGAATTCAAAATCAGCGCAAAATTCTGCACAAAATAGGCCTGGTTCCAACTCGAAACCCCTGGATCACTAAAAGACCATCCTTGAAAAATTACAAACCAAAAAAAAAAAAATAAAAAAAAAAAAAAAAAAAAAAACCAACAAAAAAAAATAAAAAAACCAACCCAAACCCAACCCAACCCCCCAAATAAGCCGAAGCCTAAACCTTACCCATTGACAAGTATTACTGACGTGATTTTCAAAAGTTTCACACCCAAGCCGGGCCCGGTTGAACCCCTAAATTATTCACCCGGCCAGCAGCCTATTTTGCGCCCTTTCTCAGGCCGGATTTCAAGGCACTCCACCTACACAAGTGGCCACACCCGAACTGGCATCCGGTAACCGATGCTTAGGTCAGAAACCGGCAATTTTGTTAGATCTAAATTATAGTCAGTTACTTTCGGTCTACTTTCAAAAGTTTGTAGTCAACGAAGATTTTCAGAAAAAGTGAAGAGTAGTTACAACCAGCAATGCAACTTTTTAGGGCTCTTTTCTGGTGGAAGATCTGCTCAAAGAAGACCCGAAAAAAGCGGAAAAGCCCCAGCAGAAATTGAAGAAATGGCATACAGCCGAGATTAAGAGACAGCGTTACACCTTTTCGGCAGCACAGGTGTGTGCATTTTCCAATTTTTAGTGATAGTTGTGGTATTACGTATTACTACGTAATAGCATATTACGTTCTTTCATTCCTCCTCCGCTTTAGGTGCATTGTCTGGAGATGGTATTTGTGCGGAACCGCTACATTTCTCCGGAGAAGCGACTGGAGCTGGCTCGGTGGCTCGGGCTGACTGAACAACAGGTTCGACGAGTTTTTATAGCTAGTTCTTTTAATATATCAGCATTAAAAAGTCAATTTTAAAATATGCTAATACCGTACTCGAGCTATTCAAAAAATAGACAAGTTGGGACCCGGCCAACCCAAATATTTTTGGGCTTCTAGGTTGCTCAGTGACCTATCTAGCTGAACATTCCCTTGAATATTTTGAATTTTGAAAAGTGGAATCAGTAATAGCGCAACATTGCTAATTACGTTCTCGAACTTTCAAAAACGCAATTCTGCGATTTTAATTAGCCCTAATAATCCCCGGGCCTCCCTGTTTTTCGAAGCCGAGTAAACACAAATAAGTCTTTCTAATTACCGCAAAGTTAAATCAATTTCATTCATTGATTTTAGAACTCTGAAGGCTTTAAGCCGGGCAAAACTCGAAAATTTCGCAAAAACACTTCTCCCAACGGCTCAGCATCCTCGCCGATTTATTGTAACCTGACTCTCCGGCAAATCCCGGTGGGAAATGACAGAGTCGCGTCTCTAATTTTTTGGCCATATTCCCAGCCGATTTACGCCAAAATATCGAAAAAGGGCATTAGCGCGTAATTTAGGTAACGAGGGCCCGGGAAATTGGCTAGATTCTTCGCATGCTCCGTCAAAAAAATTACCCGATTTTGACGAACCTGATCGTCAGCGGGAAAAACGTGGGGAAATGAGAAAACCAGCGTTTTAGGTAAAGATCTGGTTCCAAAATCGGCGCTACAAGGCCAAACTGAAGATGGAGAACGACAAGACTACGGTAGAAAATACAGGACACTTTAAGTTTGTTGGGATTTAGGAGTTGATCCAGGAATTCTACCACCCGCATCCGCCTCATCAGCATTGGAGCGTCTACCCGGCTTTTCCTTTTTTATAGGGTTGAGGTGATTCAGGATATGTTGAAATTGCGTCTCTATCTTTTATATATTTGAATCATTACAATTAATTTGTAAAAATCGATGCATAAATCGTACAGGTAACATCGCACTCGCAAGCTCCGCCAGACATCCGGATTGGCAAAAAATTACATGACTCAGACCGTTAAGCACTCCATTCTGGAAGAAATCAGCTGCGCAGTTATACTTTTCACCAGATTTGAAATCGGATTTAGCCAATTTAATCGTGAGCAATCCTTCCGGATCTTCGTCGTCAACCAATTTTTTATCGAAAAATGGCTGCAAATTTTGAGCTTTCTTCAAACATCTACATCTTCACTTGCTTAAATTTATAAAAATAAATTATTCATATTAATAAAGACGAATAAACGAATAAAATTCTATTCATAATATTAATCAAAACAAAATCGAGATAAAAAATAAGCGGAAATAATAAGGGATTTTTCCAATCTGAAGCAAAACCTAAAACTTCTCATGATCATTCAACGTCCAAAAATTGATTATTCAAGCCTTCTTACTCACTTTTGCATTCGCAAGTTCCATTTCTTGCCATTTAGCAATTCTTTTCATGACTTTTCGCCAGATTCGCACGAGACTCCCCAAAAAATGACGACCCCAAGGGACTATGAATAGTGTAGCCCAAGCCCCACGCGCCAAAACATCCTTGCTTTTTATTCTAATCGCTAATTTTGGCCACTTTTTGCACCGTCCAGCTGACGGGACACTTTAAAAAAATCGGGAATATCGTCAGCATGCCCGTTTCGGTGGGCCCCTAGGGGACCAAGCCACAGAATCAGGGGGCGGGCCAGGGGCCCTCCTCCTGGAGCTTGGGGCTTCTGCCACCGGCCCCTCCAAGGCACACACTTCAGCCTCACCCGCGAGATGCTGCCCAGACTCCTCGTACTCGTCGCACTACTCATCGCCCTGATTGCATGCACTGGTTACGGTAAGTGGGTCAGGGTTACGAATACGGACGTTTCCGGGTTTCTGAAAATTCGAATTTAATCTGAGCTTTAGCTACAGTAGCTCCTTGCAGGCTAAATACTAAAAATAAACTTCTGGTTTTTTTAACAAAAAGAGTTTTTTGCTTGAGTTAGAATTCTGCTTTACCAGAATACCGTATGCCTTTACGAAACACAACCCCTGGCACCACGATTCATCCTACATTTCGCCTACACAATAATTATTCACCGCGTCGCCGACGCGATCTCACCCCTGGTAACATTCCTGGGTGACAAACGAGCATGCAAAACCTTGCCAGTATTGACTTCTTGATGCAAAACACAGATCCCGGTCCAGGGTTCGGGGTCGCTAGCGTTTCGAAGAAGAATCTCGCATAATGAAAAAGTCTTAACTGATTTGATGATTCACTTTTCTAACGCCATGTTCTCCTGTCCTCATCGTTTATGCAAATTGCGGCAGGTCGGAGTAATTGCTGGCCATAGAATGCTAAAAGCGTCAAGTCGAAAAAAATTTTCTACTTTCTTTGCCTTCGGGCTGCGTAAAAAGGTTGGTATATTTTGAGTAATTTCCTTAATTATTTGTCACTTCCTGAACCCTAGTCTTCAGAATCACATTTCGTTCCGAACGAGCTCCATTTTGCGTAAGACCTTTAAGACCCTCCCCCCATGACCCGTCTCGAGTGGTCGTAGCTCCTCGGAATTTGTGGAGAACGACTGGAAGGGAATTGAAGTATTGGAACCAATGGACCCTCGATGTATGGACCTAATCAAAAACGGAATGTTCCGAAGGTTGCTTCGAAAAGCCGGATGACCTGGATTTTTTTGTGGAAAACCACCCTCAAAAACCTTCGGCGTGGGATTACAGAGAGCCATAACCCCACAAACTACAATTTAATTCAAACCTGAAAAAGGTGCAAAAACTCATCCCAAAACCCCGTTATAATTCCCCGGGACGGATACCGACCATTTCCGTGTAATTTCCTAAATTGGAGCCAACACACAGCCACAGCACAACGCACGCGTTTTTTAGACGGATCTGGCTCGGTTGATTTTGCCCAAATCGGGGGCTTTTAGGCGGAAATTGGTGTTTTTGGTACGCTGTGTGTACCAAGGAGCGTGGCGGAATTTAAGAAATACACGTCTGCCGGTTTTTCAAGAGTTTTCATACCTTATGAAAAGTTTACAAAGTTGGAAATTGGTGAAAGTAAAATTTTCCTCCCATCATACTGGTTTTTTTTCAGCTCTCGACGAGCAGCAACCGGAAATGGACGGCCAGGATGGTAATGAAGCACCGTTGAGGGTCCTCCGGTTAATGGTACGTGTCTAGAAATAATGATTTCACTTTTGCAAAAGTTTATTTGATCTGGAAAAACATCTACAACTTGTAGTGAGGCCGGAAGTCGGGGATTTTGATGCACATGCAAAACTTCTAAGTTTAATCTTCATAAAAACATCTTGTTGTTTCCTCGGTTACTGCAGAACCTTATCGAGGAAATGCGTTTTAGATAAACTGTAATATAATCGAAAATTCACAAAAAAATTTATTTCGGAGTGCAAGAAGCTTTACGTTAATCAAGTCATGTAGCTCTAAAACCCGAAGTTTCGAAGCTGATTTTGTTTCTTCACATCCCATCCCTCAACCCCAAAAATCTTACATACGCACGTGTCCGCAATAGACGCAGCTAACCTAGCTGTTGGCGCAAGCTTTTGAGCGTGACCAGACGCTTGGGGGATCGGATTTTGATACCCTCGACTCGGGTCGGGGGCATGACGTCCCGGAACTTGGCCCCACACTCACACAACCAAGCCAATTAGCGCTCGCTTGGATTGTTCCGGAATTTGAAGTAGGAGATAAGTAAGCAGTCACGCAATATTGGAAAAGAATAAAACACCTCTAACCGGAAAATAGGCCATTTGCTGACATTTTGCGTTGCTATGAATGTTCGAGCGCGGTTAAGATTCAAGCGATATTTAAAATAGCTCTATCGATTAAAAAATTCAAGTAACCGTCTAAAAATGGGCGGTTTTTGCCATTTTGTATCGGACGGGATTTGGGCGTTTTTTTGCCCTAACAATTTATCAAAAATGCACAATAGCATTTCCATTTCGTTCGGCATTCGTGCCACTAATGAATTTACCCAACACTTGATTTTTGTCCTCAAATCCCGGGGTTCGGCTATTAAAACACTTTAAAGAGAGTCTTCTCCTTTTCCATCAACACAATGGCCCGAAAATGGAGGCTTCTTGGTAGAACCGAGCCCGAAAAACACCCTTCCTTCCTTCCTGCCTCCCCTGCTATTCCTCCTCTTTGCATTCTAACGGAGATCCATCGCAATTCAACCCAAATTTGTCAACACGCAACACGCTTTTTTAAGTGCGCTTTTTTCTACAGTTTTTTCATTTCCGATCCCGAATTTTTGATGAATGAAATCAGCGAGCCAGTCGGGAGGTGAATAAAAAAATCCGGAATCACAGATTGAGGCATCGCAGTTCTCCGGGGGTCAAATTGGAGCAAATTGCAACCCCCGTGGCGTGATGGTGAGGCTATTTTTGGTCGCAAATCATCGGGTTTTTTGTTCTGACGTGCCATTTCGGGGCTGTCTTTTCAGAAATTTATAAGGGTGAATCGGGAGGCGCTAAAAATGGAAACGGTGGCTATTCTTGAACCGCGGAACGCCCCAAATTTTTTTAAATTTGGTTGCCCCTCTTGACGAGATTCTGCAAAAATTAGCTCACAAATCAACCGGTAAATTCTAAGAATTCGCCAGCAATACCAATGGTCAGACCCCCCATTAAATTTCCCATCCTCAATGGCGAGGATTAGTCAAAATATTCCTCGAGCAGCCGGCGAAAACAATGGGAAACTGGAACATAAGAAGGAATCAAGCCTCCAAATTTTGAGGACTAGAAAAAATGTAATAAATATTTTTCAGGACCCGGAAAACACAGCGGAAGACCAGATGCCGTTGATGTATAAGCGATGGGCAACTCAGGTATTTTAGGCTTAGGCCTAGGCTTGGGCTTCGGTGATCGATCAGCTTTTAAAATATCTGTTTTTTAGGTCCGATTTGGCAAGCGGGCGGCAAATAGCTGGGCCTCGTCGGTCCGATTTGGATAATTAAGCGTAAGCTTCTCCGATTTAATTTTTAAGGCCATTTTAGAACCCTTTCCTCCAACCCCGATCTCGTCTCTGCCATGGTCCAACAATTCAAAACCTCCCATCTCCTAGTCACTATCCAACTTCAACAGTGCGACCCCGGCTCAAGAATACCACCGCTTTACCCCCACTTCCCTCCCCTGGATTTTTGTAGTCTGTAGTACAAAGTTTGTGCTATGACCGTCGCGTTGACTGTCGACTCCCCCCGTATGGCCGGTTTACGTTTTTTATATCTGCTCTTTTTGAGTTTGAATAAAGGTTTTCCTGTTTTTCGTCGTGTAACGGGAGGAGGACAAGGTTGATTCTGTAGTAAACAATACATTTTCTAACACCAACTGCGCCATCGAAGTTTAAATTCGGTATTACTTGCCTGCTACAATCTTCCAAATAGCATAAAAATTTTTGTCTAGGTTTTTCAGACCAAAAAGCATTTATTTTCGAAGTATTTATTTTTGTGTTGTAAATATTTTCAACTAACTTTACTTTAAAGGAAATGTTTTCAGTACAAAGCTAGTAAATTCCGGCGATTCCTGCCTCTTTCAAATAGAACCATCCAATAGTTTTCCGATGTCTTAAAGTCAGCGGCAGTAGTAAATATGTAGTCCTAGTAGTTGTGTAGTTTAGAATATTACAAAAATTTTTTTGCTGTTTTTAGACGTTTTTCTTTTGCGCTCCAGCGAAAACCCAAATCGGGCTCAAAGTCCAGGATTCATGACGACCCCAAAAAGCACTGAATAACCACCGCCCACGCCCAAATTCGCGGTGCTCACCATTCTTCATCGCCCAGGCTTTTCACCCCCTATCTAAAGTCGGGCACTTTTCGAGGGAAGATGAATCGCCGTTTGGGTAAGCCGGCTCGGGGGTCTTGAAGCCATGGCCAATACCCGAGGCTCTGGCAGCGAGAAGGGCTAATTGGGCCACCGGAGGCGGAATTTCTGACGACGATGCTCCGATTTCAGAATGGAGGAGGAGAAGGAGGTGGTGGTGTGGGAGTGGGGCATCTGAGCCATAAAAACATGATTCTAGGTATAGAGCCTACGGCAATTTTCCCCTGCCAATTAGTGTAGGGAAAATTTATTTGTCGCTAGAACAGGTTGGTGTCTTGAAAATTCGCGAAGGGACTTTGCGAGCCTGTCCCTTTCGAATTGCTTGAAAAATAAGCCTACGGCGATGATGAAAAGCTCTGAAGAACTGCAAAGCTTTTTATGAGGCTAATTCTAGGAAGTGGAGCACAAACCTTGAAGAAACGTTGCTAGTGTGTCCTTGAAAACAGTTTGATAAGCTTTTCCAATTGTAAAAAATAAGCGAGAACTGCGGCAATCCCTTCAAAGTCCGAGAAATCGAGGAAAATTCTCCAAGAACCTTGGCTGCGTTTTAAAAATCCTGGCAAAAGTAAGGCCTCGGGTGTGGAAGATAAGCGGAGATTTCCCTAGCACGATTTTTATAGACTCTTTGCATCAGGAATCTAGCAAAATTCACCAAATTACTCCGCTAGCTTAACTTTCAGAAATGATGCAAAGTCTAGCTTCAAATACCGCGAAAAACAATGAACAAGTGCAAAGCTCTAAATACCCCTAAAAGCGGGAATTCACTTCTCACTAGCAACACTTCGAACTTCCCGCGAGACCAAAATATTTTCGTCCAGTGTCCATCACATCGGAACGTGCGCCTTCTTGGGGGGAGCATCGGGGGCTCAGGAAATCAGATTCTAGGTCCCCCGCATTGTACTCCTAAACGGGCTCGTTCCGCTCGTATTTTGGCACGGCAAAGGGAATGGCAATGGGAATTTTTTTCTCGAAAATTTCGTAAATGTTGAGAGCCTGGAACGTGCCTAGACGGCGTTTGAAGGCGGAAGGCAATTTTAGGGATCATCTTGACGGAAAAACTGCATCGACCATTCAAAAAATCAATTTACATTTTCTGCATTTTGCTGGGATCGCTAGGCTTGCTCTTTTCTAAACATTAATGCTGAGTCCACCCTGAGGTTTTTAAAGCTCATGCGGAGGAATTCTCGATCCTTGGCATCGTGGTGGGCGGCCGATTCAGGCCTAGGAATTTACGATGAGGCGGCCGATGATCTTCATCACAAAATTCCGGCAGCGGAAGGACGCATAATTGAGTGCTTGAATTTTTTCTGCCAGCTGATGAATGAAAGGATGGACTTTTCGACAAAAATAAAATGCAAAAATCCGGCAGGGATTAGGTAAGGCTTTGGTCTTGGTGGTACAGGAAATAAGAAAATTCCAGGAGCTACTGTAATTTATGAATTTATTCCGGCTTTTGTGATTTTAGTTGAAGGCACCACCGGTATTTTTGTATTTTGCTTTTTACAGATTTAGACTTGGATATCTAGGTGTTTTTATTATTTGCGTTTCACTCTTGCTTTAAAACGATTTCATCCTATGATTCGCGCCCCGCTCTTTTTGGCTGGATATTCTAGCTCGGACCGCGATCATGGTGCTTGTTCTTTTTAAGGTATAATGACTGAATAAAATTGTTTAATCATTTTTGGGGCTACCGTATGCGCCTGCTCGAGCTCTTCCAAATCCGACGATCCTCAGATTACCGAGTGAGCGATGGAACCAGACCAAGCAAATCGCAGCCGAACCGCGAATGCTGCTGGGAAATTAAAGCATGTTTTTTGATGAAAAGTACTTTGACTGATCCAATATATACAAAATAAACGCGAATAAGTTATTACACAACAAGTTAACACTTTATTATCAAGGCTCCAACTCATCACGTTCTTGGCTCAAGTTCGAGAAAATTTGTATCAGGAAACGTTCGATTCCCTTCCCCAGTCGCCCCTTTCATCTTGCGGTATGGCTGCCTGCCCGGAAAGATGGCCGGTTCGTAGCCCTCGGGGCCGAAGTTTTTTCGCAACCAGTGCTTGATCAGCGGCCTATGAGGCATCTTGGGGGTAGCGAAATAACCGCGGAAAACAGCGTAAATATCAAAAATTTCCAATCCAAGAACTTTTAGCATCAAATACGTGACTCACCCAACATCCTTCGGCGTTACATCGTCATCCGGGTAGAATTGATAGGTTAGGCCTTTAATATCACGCAACGTACGCTAAATTGCTGGTTAAAGGCGTATTTTATATCTGCTTCCTACCCTCCCGTTCTCATACCAGGCAATCGCAGCCTTGGTCTTGCCGGGTGAAAAGTCTCCTTGGAACTGAAAAGCGATGAGGCTTCGGATTGGACCTAGGTATACACCTACGCGTCTGTGGTATACCTTTGTAAGGCCGAGGCTTAGGCCTAAAATCCATTCGTGTGCAAACCTACCGAAAGATAATGTGCCGGCCGGCGCGGTTCCCGCAACTTGTAATAGTGCCCCGGCGTGCTGAAAATGCCGTCAGCCGTCCAGGCGGACAAGGCATCGGTAAATCTGAAAATGCGCTGGTCAGGGTCGGGAAGTGCTTTTACCTTCGAATCCCGAAATTGAAGCACAGCTCCTCCAGCTTCCCGCCATGCGCTTCGGGCAATGAACGGGTCACCAAATCGACGTCCCGATTCTGAAACGGAGCCATTTTTGCTAATCCGAGTTCTAAGCCTAATCCTCAGTCTGAGCCAAAGTCCATGCCAAAGCCAAGCCTAAGCTTTAGACTAAGCCTAAGCTTAAGTCCAAATATAAGTTCAAGCCTGCGCCTTACATCGAACCGGTGACTCATCGTCGCCGTCCAGCGCTTCAGGTCCAAATGAAAAGCGATATTGTGGTCTCGATCCATTTTCTCATCAAATGGAGGCGAGTCGTTAACGATCCAGAAGCTGAAGAATTAGATTTTTAAGTGCGCCTTTAGTATGCCACGCTACCTTGTACGTCCAGGCAGCGGTGTCACGTTCCACACGCAGACCGCAAATGTCATATTGTAAATTTTCTCGGCCGTGTTGAAAACAACGCGATGGTTGATGTAGAAATGGGGCGGGAAGTTGACTTAGAACGTATTGTAGCTCAAAAATCGCTTTAAACGTAAAAGGATTGTCATGAGAGCTACTATTACCGATAGCATATAACCTCAAGCGTTGAAAGTAGCCTTATTAAATACTGAAATTATGCATAAAAACCAACACTTATGTTTTGGTTCCAGGCGGTCGTTAATAAAATTTGCATAGAATTCGCTGGGTCCAACTGGGGTCTCAACGCCTCTTGTCATCATGTAAGGGACACGGCGTTTATTCTGTAAGAAAAATTCTGATTCACCTTTGAACCCATAGAGCTACCGGTGCCGTGTGAAACGCAGCCGCAATTCCTTCTTGGTTGAACTAAAAACAACAAGATTTTATATGGCAAAAGAAGGACTTTAGTTCATTAACCTGACTAGGGAAGCTCGAATTTGGTTCTCAAGAATTCAGAATTATTATCAACTCAGAATTGGTTGAAATTTGCGCACACATAGAATGGACGATGCTGATCATCGCCTCGTTGTCCAAATTTGCTACTAATCTTTAAAACTGGAGATATTGAAGTTTTAGTGTCGTTTTTCGCCCCCGAGAAGTGTTTTGCCATGATGCCGTTTCTTTATTTTGAAGTTCTAATTTATTTGAAGTAGGCTATCCGATAGAGAATTTTTTTTCTGATTTGAATGGGTATATTTCATTAAGGTAGGCTTCATCTAGACGACGTCTTACAAATGTTTGAAGTCGGCTGTTTTTCACTATTTCCCATACAAAAATCGAAGTTGGTCGTCAATTTTTCCAATTTTTCGGGTTTTCGAAAATTTTGAGTTAGTAGGCTGACTCACTAGAGAAAAGTTTTTAAATACGATGGCGAAATTTATTTTTACAAAATTGACCCGGAAGATCAAAATAATCGAGCTCGAAGTTTGTTTTAACTCAACGATGGCTTTAAAAGTAGCATATCCCCAGTTTTAAAGATCAGTAGCAAATTTGGACAACGAGGCGATGATCAGCATCGTCGATTCCATCTGCGTGCAAATTTTCCTGCAATTCTGAGTCGGGGTTTATGCGCGCTCCCCTGGTGAGACAATGTTTAAGGCGTTTAAAAACCCACGCCTAGGAAATAGTTACTGCCTCTGGGTCCCTGCTTAGCGTAACTCAGCGGCGCGTTGAGGATACTTCCGCTCACGGTGTACACACCCTTGTCATTTCTGAATTTCTTCGATCCCATGGGAATTTTGACCTTTAATAAAAGTAACAAATCACCCACGCGATCGACAATTTAAAGGCGTAACAATGACATTCATTGAAGTACGGGTAGCTGTTGATTCTGTGTGTAACCATGGAATTAAACTGCTGCTAAAAGCAAGTTTGGTTGTTTCGAGTTTGATGTTTTAGTCGCGTGAATGACTTATCGAGATTCCTACGTTCATTTCGTTGCGGTGGCTCAGCCGGATCGACATGTCTGACTTCCGGATGTGGATATAGATGGGAACGGGATCAGTGGAATAGCTAGGGTTCCATGCCTTCTCGAGAAGCGCGATTTCAACCCTAGCGAAAACGATGCGTTAGAGCTCGTCCTACAAGGAGACGTTTTTGAGTGTCGTCGGAACTTTGGCATGGGACCAAGCCTATCTTGTGCAGAATTTTACGCTGATTCCGAATATGGTAACCGTTTTTGCGGAATAGCCATTTCTCGAAAGTTATGAACGATTTAAACCTCAAAACAGCCCAAAATCGGCTACTTCCGATAGTCATAAAAGGCTTCGGAAAAGGTTTTAGACAAAACCGGATAGAACATCTTGTTTAGAAAAAAAAATTCTCTATAAAATAAGCTACTTAACTCAAAAATGTTGGAACTTTGAAGATTTTGTAAAATTAGGGGCCTCCCAATTTTCAAATTTTTCTAACTTTTCAATGATTTTGGAGAAGATGGTAAATTTTGCGAGAGTGTGAGCCTAACCTAAAGTTTAGGCACACACTCTAGCTTAAGCCTAAGCCTACCCCGGGTCAACTTAAAGTTTTCCAAGCTTTGCTTGAAGTTAAGATGTTTATGCCACTCACTCAACATGATGGGTAAAGAAGAAAAACTCGATGATATCGCTTCGGCGGTTAGACTCGGGGATTCGAAAGAAAGGACCCTGCATCAGATGGGCCCTGCGATGGAAATCTAGCAATATTTTCCCTAATTTAATTGAATTCAAGCTTACACTCATCTTCCACAGTTCCGGACGACGCTGACTTCCAGTAAACAATAAGTACCAGCCACCGCAGCATCAGCGCGCAATCGAGTTTCAAAACTTTTGGAATGCCTAGCCGAAAGGTTCCGGCTGCTTGAATTGTAAATGAAATTGAAAAAAATCGAGGCGATTATATTATAGTTTACGGTAGATGATAGACGGTTTTTAATCGCTTGAAATATTATAGAGGTTATGCAATAAAGCTTGTGCATGGGCTTCAGGGAATCGCAGACTACACATCTTTGGTCTAATACAACATAAAAAACATAGAAGATACAAGACATTTCCACGATTTATTTTCAACAACAGTGTATGCACAAGCCCATAATGAGAGTTGCAATTTAGCGATGTATATAATCGCGCAGGCTCTTCTCCAGATAATCCGCAAACTTATTTCTGAAAAAATATTCCCCTCGAATATAGTGACAAACTGATGACTCCACTCGGTCTCCGGCGAATCGTACCACTTCAGAATGTCCTTTGTGGGCGTGTCCGGGTACTGTAAGTATCATAAGCTTGCAAATATCAACTAACTATACCCAGCCAGAATTTTTGCCATACCCCACAGCAACCTTGGTAGCGGTCTTACCGAATTTTCCTTGGAACTAAACAATTAACCAAAAAGTATAAAAATTAATTCCAAACCGATAGGCTCTCCGGTGGCATGCTTTTGCCTTGGATGTTCACGAGGTCTTCCTAAGCATCGAAACTTCACGACGTTTTTAAACACGTACCTCCCGGAATAATCCGGTGCCGAGCCAGCGTAACATCCGCCAATGGGTGAGGTACTTTTTGTAACTAAGAATATAGGCTTAATTTCTGATCATTCACAGTGTTTGATCCAGATAAATTGTTTAATTGTGAATTTTCGAACTTGATGAGAAAATGAAAAGGTTATTCTTTCTTCTTTTTTTTAGAAAGAATTGAACCGCTAAACTCTAACAAGGGAAGTGAAAAGGAAGTCGCCGCTGACGACTCTATCAGACCCATATTTTTGCTAAGCTTGGACGCCGATTTGCATTTCCTTTGGAAGCCTAAGCCTAGTCATAATCGTGACCTTTGACGCAATTTTTCCCCATTTCAGTTCCGGTCCCTAGAGAACTGAAAAAAGCAGGAAAAGCAGAATCATCGTTGCAAAAACCGTCTTTCCCTTTCAACCCCATACATTCTAGTGCCAAAATGGAAGCAGAGATCGTAGGTGCCGTCCCGCTGCGCTTCCAGGCGACGCGTAAACATTGGGTGATCAACGTTCTAAAATGCCAAACTGTTCCTTTAAAGTTAGAATACGATTACGAGTACTAGGGACACGACTAAACCAAACAATTACATCGCTACGATATCCCAAGAACAACGTTCCATCCAGAGTGTCGATCTCGATGCCAATGTTGAAGTCGCGGTCGAGTTTTTCGTCAAATGGTGGCCGATCGTTGATGATCCAGAATCTAAAAATGCCGACCTTAAAAGAGAAATAGCTTTTTACGTTCGCCGCCCGTCCATCGGGGTGATATCCCATAGACAGATGACGATTGTGCGTTCTCGCGGGTGTCATGCTCAGTCGAAATGAGATCGCGGATGGGGAAAGCCGGCGAAGCAGCAACTACATTATAACCGGTATTACTCAAAATTTCAAAAAGCTACGAAAAATCATAAAGGCTGATGCGATTTGAATGACCTACTAGATACTTCTTCTTTCATCCTCCGGTTGACCTCTTTCCGAATTTGTTCCATGTTGAGCGGCGGAGTCTTTGCGCCTCGGGTTGCCAGGAAGGTTTGTGAAAGCTTCTACAAAAAAAATCGGAAGTAGGGATGATGCAAAATCAAGAAAAAGCTAGCGGAAAGCGCTCACTTTAACCCTTGTGTGCTTAACAAACATCGTGGCAGCCGTTGGGGACTAAAATCGAATAAATTTTCTGTATTTCCCGAACTTTGTTAAAGTGCTTAAAATGTTTAAGGGTCCTCAAGAACTTCTAAGACGTACCGCAACATACAGTGGCGTTGTCTGGAACGAAGGTGCTGAATACTTGCAATGCAACAGCTTGTTCCCCTCCATCCAATCAAGTGTAATCTCGAACCCGCGGTCAAGCCACCAGCTTTAAAAACGGTTTTTTAAATGAAATTCCCAAAATTTCTCACATTATCGTCAGTCGCCCGACGTAGCTTCCCAAATTTTTCACCCATTCATACTCGGAAAAGATGCACTCTCTGGGTGCAGGAGCGGGTATCTAAAACCTTCATTTTGAGAGCTTGGCTTTTTCGAACCCCATAGTTGCCGGTATCTTGCGTGAGGATCAGTTTTTTGCTCTTTCTTTCGATGCGTACCTAAAAATATTTATTAAAGGGTTTTGATAAAAGGCGCCTCGAGTGGCCGAAAGATACGGTAGCCGTTGATCTGGCCATGTAGGTCAGGGGATTCGGCGATGAAGACCTCGAATCTGAAGATACGGTATGGAGTGTTAATCCTAAGCCAAGGCTAAGCTAAACCTAAGCTAAGCAAAGCTAGATCTAAGCTTGGTCTAAGCCAAGCCTAACTAAAGTAAGCTGGGTGTAAGCGAAGCAACATTTGCCTTACACCTGCTCGAGCGTGAAGAAAATTATATCCAGCTTATCGCCATTTTTAAAAGCTTCGTTCAGCCTGATGAAAGGCCCGGCAACTGGATGGCGGAACTCCCCTAAATTTTAAGCTTTAGTTTTTGCGGCTCAGCCAGAGCCAGCTTGTAAGCTGGGTGTAAGCGAAGCAACATTTGCCTTACACCTGCTCGAGCGTGAAGAAAATTATATCCAGCTTATCGCCATTTTTAAAAGCTTCGTTCAGCCTGATGAAAGGCCCGGCAACTGGATGGCGGAACTCCCCTAAATTTTAAGCTTTAGTTTTTGCGGCTCAGCCAGAGCCAGCTTAGCAATTGCAAGCTCTTACAAGGATCCACGTGATTCCTGGAACTCGCAATACCAAGAAAGCTAATAAAAAACAGGGTCCCAGCCAGAATCATCGCAAAGAAAATGAAAACTCAGGGAAAAGTGGATCCGGGTTCGCTTTGCGATATTTTGTCCCGATTAATATTTATGAAATGCGTGATATATAGACCAGTACTTTTTTATTGCGGAAAAGCAGACTGTAGCGCATTGTATTCTCTTTTTCCAAATTAAAATGTAATAATAGAAAGTACCAAAATTCTGCAGTACGCCGGACGCCGACTTTTTCACGGTTTATGTTTATAATATTAGGACAATTGCGCCTTGTCCTAGGTTGTGTCATGTACTACTGGCACATCCACAGTACCTCTCCAACGCAATACCCATTCAACTTTGTCTCTCGAATTCAACGCAATAAAAATGACCCCGGAATTGACAAATCCCCCCCCCCCAGGGAGGCTGGAAATTTATGCCCAATTAGCGAAGTTCAGTCCACGTCCCTAAAATGCATAATTCGATTGTAGCTTCTTCCCTTTAACACCTCTAAAAACATCCATGAGTCAAAATTTTGTCTTCACAGATCTTTGGAGCCAATTTGCAAAATTGTGATCCCTCATAAGCTTTTCTTTAGTTTGAAAATCTAACATTTTTCATCATCTTTTCACCGTCGAACAATTGCTAGCATCTAAATTTCACTGTTTAACATTGGCAGATGCTGAGCACGAGCGAGTTCCAAGACTACGCGAGCCATTGGGTGTTCGGTATTGGCGCCGGCTCAAATCTCTTCTTACTTTTTGTAATCTATACCGTAAGCCGAAATGAGGCACGAGGAAGTCGAACGATTCTGACGATTATATCAATTTTCAACATTTACTATGCGCTTGTCGTGAAAATTGTCCACCCGGTAGGAAAATTATAATGGAGTTTTGGAGGGAAAATATATTTACCCTGTGGTAATAGTGCTTGTAAAACGAAAAACCACTTCAGACCTACATCCTTGATGAACGAGGCTTCATAGCTCTTTCAAAAACCTTCCCAAAAACATCCGCCGCCTCTAAGGTTGGCCTAGCACTTTTTGTGAACGCCTTTGGCCAGTCTTTATCTTTATTGATGATCCATTGCTTCTATCGATACGTCAAGATTATTGGGTAAACGTTTGAACTGAATCAAATACCTTTAGAATTAGACGATACCGTGCTATTATCGAGAAGAGGAAGGGTATACTCGCTCTGGTCACTTGGCACTTTTTCATATCTGGGGCCATCGAGTCGACTTGTCTAATTTCGATGCAGGTATGTAATGAGTAATTATGGGATTTGGCTCACTCATACTAAAATTTATCTACTAGTATTTAATTATTTTGAAGCCAAGCGAAACTCGCAGACAGCTTTCGTATGAAGAAACTTTAAAATTCCTGAACCTATCGCTGTCTCCCGATATTTATTACTACGGGCCGGTATTTTCGGTATGTCAATTTCATGGCCAGTTCGGGGGAATTTAATTAATTTTACTTAATGACACCTTAGTACCCTGGCCCCGATCATATCGAACATTACAACTGGGTTATGGTATTTGGGACCGTGATCGCCTTGTGCTTCTTTTGTCTGTTATATGGAACAACTTGCTTGACCGGGATTAAATTGTAAGCTAGGGCGCTATTCATTGCCCAATAAAACCTTTCCTAAAAATTCAATAACTATCAATATGTTACAGATATTACTACGTAAAGCAAAACACACAAAGTCGGACGGTTCAGCGATACCAAGTGCAGCTGTTGATGCTCTTGCTGGCTCAGGTATTGTATTTAAAAGGCCATCCGCGA